ATAATTACATTATTTGAGCATAAATTATGAATTTTTTGTTTTTATAAAAAATAGAAATATATTGAAATATAAATATAAAATTTAAATTAAAATTAGAAATTATTTTAAGAGTTAATATATAGGTATGTATTTATTTATATAACTGCAATAATATCCTTTATCTTTTTACGACGATAAATCTTATTAGATTAAATCTGAAAAAAAAAACTGTAAAATAGTTAACATAAAAACTATTGAAAATGATTATTTCATTACAAAAGACTATGTTATTTTTGTATTCTAATACAATTGAATATTCTTTACAAATTAAAATATACTATATATATCATTATATTCATTTTGTGTAAATTTTTTTCAGCATTATAATAGTTTTTGAATACATATTTTAAATACTTACAGAAAAAATTATTAAATTGAGAGATGTTTGGTAAAATTTGTTTAAATCAATTAGAAATTTAATAATATTTTATTGAATTCTTTATCATATAATTTTTTAAATATGTATCTATTCTAATTATGTCTTTTTTTTTCAAAATTATCAATTTATAAAATTAAAATATAAAAGAAAAATAAAAAAAAAAGGCAGAAAATTGAAAGAAAAAAATCTATGCAGTTAATACTCAATGTTCTTTGTAAAGTAAAATAAAAAAAATGTGATAAAAAAAAATAACACATATAAAATTAAAAAATATTAAAAATAGAAAAATATGGAATTATGATTCTTCCAAAAATGCAGAAGTATGATTTACGAATACTTAGTACGTAAATTCTATAACATTCAAAAAGTGAAAAATTAAAAAAGAATTATATGTATTTTAAAAAGTAAGAAATAAATATAATAATTGAATATATTTAAATAAATAAATAGATAAATATATATAAAATAAAATAAGCTATCAAAATTTAAATAATTAAATTTAAAAATTTAAAAAAAGAAAAAGCAAATGAAAATCAAGAGATGGTTTTTTATAATACGTACATGAATAAGATAAAATTTTAATTAAATTGATCAAGAAAGGTTGAGAACCTTTTCTAAGATAAATCACCAGCACTTGATGTTATGAGCAGTGCACCAATAGTAACAAGAGGGGAATGCCGTATGTGAACCGTTGAAAAGTTTCACTTGACTAGTAATGGTACTGCTAGTCAGGTGAACTATACGTTGATTCATTGGGGGCACATACCCTTGATTGGATTGGCAGTTTTAAAATTGTACAATTTCCATAAATGTGCTATTAGAGATAGTGAAAAATAATATTATTTCTTCTTAAAAATTTTTATTTTTGATATAGTGTACAAAAATATTATTTAATTGTCACGAGATACATTCAACAATTAGGAAAACAATTGGATAATAAATCAAGTTTTTTTTTACACTCAATTTTCTTAAAAATGAAAAAATATTATTT